TTTGGTAAAAATGCTTACACAGTAAGACATTTTTGCAGATTGCTGAGGGCAGGGAGGATAGAGAGCTTAACAATAATCACCGTCTTGTTCTTTTGTTTAAAGCAGAATGAACTGACCCACACATACATAGCAAGATCACAGATTATTTAATATGGGTATGCAAAAACAAAACTGCAAAATTGCGAAACTGCAGTTGGCAAAGCATGATTTGCTTTAAGCATTAAAAGAATCTGTATTTGTTCTTCCTTTGAAAAGAAAAATATTGGCCAAGAATGAAGACGGTCATCAGAAAATGAGATGTTAACGGCAAGAAACCAATGCAGAATAAATAAAAATAGATCAGTGTCACGAATACTAAGGAAAACATAAAACGGTGTGTTAGTGCTCACGATCTGGAGAAGACAGCACCTGCTCCCTAGGGCTGAGCAGTTATATCCAGTTATAGCCAGTCAGCATCAGGTAGCCCTAAATGAGCTATGCCAGGACTGTCTGCTTTCAGTTCCTCAAATGTGACAAGCTCTTCCATACATCCCGGCCCCTCTGTCTAGCTGACAGTTTCCGCCAGTAGTTTATCATCTTTGTGCTGTTCAAGCTTAAGGTCTTAGCTTTCTTCACTCCACAGATGAATTAAGTATCTCTCTCCCTTTACTTATGACCTACCCAAGCACCTTATCATCTCCCTCCATGGCACTTCAAACACTCTGGTTATAGATTATGTGTATATAAACATTATATTAATATATCACACGTATGTATGTACATTATACATATAACTATAAGGTCTCTTCTTTCTAGCAGGCTGTAAATCCCTTAAGAACAGAGACTGTATCTGTTTTACACAATTACAGCCAAGGTCTTGGACACTGCCTGGTACAAAAGTAGGCACACTCTACGGACTAACGTGCATCCATAACTCCATCTTTGTTTGCCGTCACTTCACATCTGCAGAGCCCCCATGAGACAAGACCCTTCCTATCTGCTATGCTAACTCACAGAACCTTAACAGTAAATAATAGAGGTTCCCCTACTGACCTGTAAAAACCACTGGAGAATGGGAAAATAGAAACAAGCTGTAAAGTGAAGTATTCTGGACTTCACTGGGGATGGGAGGTGTTAGTACAATCAGTCAGTTCTCAGACCAGTAACCTGCCAGACTTCCTTTGGATTCCAGAGAGCTGCTTGACTGTTTCTCTTCTACTGACATTAACTCTTACCTTGAGTAGTTTCTCTTTTCCTTTAGAAAAGTAAAACTGAATGCCAATTTATAGTTTCTGCCTTTATCTCTGTGGAAGTCAGCCTCCGTGACACCCTCCACTTATGCTTGCCTCCTAGTATTCACATCTCTTGAGTAGCGGCCCCCTCCCCTCCCCCCCCCAGTTGAGTAGGGCTGACCTATGTCACTGGTAGGATGCCATGGAAGTGATGGTGTAAGACTTCTGAAGTTAGGTCACAGAAGACCCTGAACATTAACCTCAAGTCTGGATCTTTGCTCAGGGAGGGGATGGGGAGGGGGGCATCCAGAAAATATATTGTGAGGACACCCCATGGAAAGCTCAACATGGTGAGTAACTGAGTTCTCCTACCAACGGCCTGTACTAACTTGCCAGCCACATGAGTGAGTCACCTTGGAAAAGGAACATCCGGCCCCAGTCAAGCCTTCACATGACTGCTACCTCATGAAATCCTCAGCCAGAACCAAGCAGCTAAACTGCTCCTGAATTCTAACCTACAGAAATTGTGGAGCCAATAAATGTTTATTGTTGTTTTAAGCTGCTAAACTTAGGAGTAATTTGTTATACAGCAATACATAACAGTAAAATCTCTTATCACTTAAGTTCATGTGAAAAATTTTCTAGAAGCTTTCATCATTAATAGAAAGGTAAACAAGAAATTCATTAAAAAATTTACACTGCAACTCCCTTTCCATTAGATCCCATAAGGAAGACAAAGCACATGGCTGACCTTTGAAAACATTTAAAAAGGATAAAGTAAGATTAATTCTATTTTTTGAAAAAAAAAAAAAAAAGACTGTATTAAACTTGTATTAAACAGTGGACAGAGTTTTCTGAAAAGGAATGAAAAGATGAGATGGAAGAGACGGGACACAGGCTGCAGTGCTGCCCTGAAGACAAGGACTAGACAAACGGGGGATGTCCACAGATTGGTTTCTTCTGTTCTGCCACAACCTTGCTTTAGCAGATTTTACCGAGGTCCCGCCCAGAGAAAACATGCAATGATCAGAGTACCAGGAGGAAGATACATGACAGGATGTCCCAGAAGGCAGTGAAGTCTGTACTAGTAAGACAAGAAGAGTCTTTCAGTAGTAGCCGTGGTGCATCAGGACCGTTTTGATAGCCATTTGATGGCAGTATGCACAAGTACCGGTCTTCTTTCTTTCTCTATAGAGGTATCTCTCAATGTTTTTATTTATTTATTTTTTTCTTTTCTTTCCTACCATAATAAATGTAGGATACAAAACACTCCCAATTAGAGAGTTGTGAGGTGCCTGGGTGGCTCAGTTAGTTACACCTCTGACTCTTGATTTCAGCTCGGGTCATGATCTCATGGTTGGTGGGACTGACCTCCACGTCAGGCTCTTGGGAGCCTGCTTGGGATTCTCTCTCTCCCTGTCTTTCTGCCCCTCCCCTGCTCACTCTCTCTCTTGAAATAAATAAATAAAC